AAACTTCCAGTGTTGGAGCATTCACCGCTTCTGGAGGCAGGTTGTTCCACTGGTTAATTGTTCTAACTGTCAGGAAGTTTCTCCTTAGTTCTAGGTTGCTTCTCTCCTTGATTAGTTTCCATCCGTTGCTTCTTGTCCTGCCTTCAGGCGCTTTGGAAAATAGCTTGACTCCCTCTTCTTTGTGGCAGCCCCTGAGATACTGGAAGACTGCTATCATGTCCCCCCTTGTCCTTCTCTTCATCAAACTAGACATACCCAATTCCAGCAGCCGTTCCTTATATGCTTTAGCCTCCAGTCCCCTGATCATCTTTGTTGCTCTTCTCTGTACTCTTTCTAGAGTCTCAACATCTTTTTTACATCGTGGTGACCAAAACTGGATGCAGTATTCCAAGTGTGGCCTTACCAGGGCATTGTTTGAGTCACAAATGCTGGCTCCCTTCACAACCACGTATCGCTCTTAAATTCCCTTACTTCCCAGCTTTCTCCCATTTTTCATTCTTGGACGGCCTCGTTGATGTCCCGGATCCTCCCCCATTAAGATGTTGGCTGGGGTTTAAGGGCAGGTTGTTTTGTGTAACTTACAGGTTTCATTTTGACTTCTGGAAGAATAACAGAGTTGGGAAGTGATCTTGGAGGTCTTCTAGTCCAACCCCCTGCTAAGGCAGGAAACCCTGGCCTATACCATTTCAGACAAATGGTTGTCCAATCTCTTCTTAAAAACTCCAGTGTTGGACCACCTACAACTCCAAGAGTCAAGTCATTCCACTGGTTAATTGTTTTGATTGTCAGGAAATATCTCCTTAGTTCTAGGTTGCTTCTCTCCTTGGTTAGTTTCCATCCGTTGCTTCTTGTCCTGCCTTCAAGTGCTTTGGAGAATAGCCTGACTCCCTCTTCTTTGTGGCAGCCCTTGAGATATTGGAGCATTGCTATTATGTCACCCCATCCTTCTTTTCATTAAACTAGACATACCCAATTTCTAGAGGAGGCTCAGAAAACCCTCCTCTCTAAGAGTCAGCACCAAAGAATGATCAACATCCTTTTTGCTTTATGAGAGTCTCAGGACAATGGTTAGAAGACACAACACTACTTGTTTTGCTCACTCACTTCTCCCATTCCCTCTTATAAGTATACAAATATATGTCCTTCCTTCCTTCCTTCCTTCCTTCCTTCCTTCCTTCCTTCCTTCCTTCCTTCCTTCCTTCCTTCCTTCCTTCCCAGCCAAGCCTCTTTCTCTGCCATTTTGCAATTAACAGCAGGAAAAACTGAAAATCTAGGGGAAAAGCTGAAGATTGCTTCTTGTACTTTCTTGTTCTTCCCCATTGTCCAGTTGATTAGCTGGTAAGATAACTATCCGGGAAGAAGCAGATTAAAATGTATAATGCATGCTGAACCTTCAGTGGATTGTTTAGATGCAGGATTTAATAGACTTACAGGGAATCTCATTCGCAAGGCAATGCATATTATTAAGTGGTAGGCAGAAAAGTGCCATGGACACCTGGTCTCCATTGAAACTGATGAAAGAGAATTTGCTTTTATCCTTTTAAAGAGGAACTTCAGTGAAATTCTCATTGGTAGATGGTTGTTATAGCACATATTTAAGGATAAGGCAGCCTAGGAAAAATTATTCTTTCCAGCAGTCTAAAGCTCCCTGGCCTCTGGCACTTCTATTAAATCCCAAAGGAAAGTGTCAAGATATGGTTCCTTCCATGGGACTTGTTAAATTGGAATGAATGAAAAGCCAAAGAGGCCTCAACTTGATGGTAAGAGACGTTGCAAGAAGTAACAATCATGACAGCAGCAGCAGCAGCACTGTCCACCTCGTCCAATATTTAAGAAAACTCAAAGACACCATCAAGAGAATTGAGAAGACATTCTTAAGCCCCCCGGAGGATTAGGCAGAAAAGCAGACACTTCTGTTGCTGGAAAGGCACAGTATTAGCATTCACTGGTTTACTTCAACATGTGGTGTGGCTGCTCTGCTATATTTGGGGGACATCTGATTCATTGTGCCCTTGAAGAATTGCCAAGATTTGCTTTATTCTGCAGCCAGCTTTGGGTTTTAGGCATTCCTCTGCTACCTTCCACCCGAATCACCTGGGGAGTAGGAAGGTGGGTAAGAATCAACCAGAAGTAGAGGTTGGATCAGGGGTCTTCAAACTTGGCTCTTTTATGACTTGCGGACTTCAACTCCACAACTCCTAAAAGGGCCAAGTTTGAAGACCCCTGGGTTGGATCCATGATCGTCAAGGACCTGGGTTGCAGCTGGCTTTGGTTGTCTTCCCAAGAGTAAGTTACATTTCAGTTTAACTGAATCTTATGGTTTAGGCATTCATGAAAATCCAGAAGTTACCCACATGAGCTGAGTTTGCACAATACATGAATCTTAGGCCACACACGTAACCCCAGTGGTCCAACCCAAGAGTTGGATTCGCACATTGTGCTAACCTTACTTAGCTAGTATGTTGTGTGAACTCATCCAATTCAGGTTGTCACTAAATCATAAATAAAGAAAACCTAGGTTAACACCAACACGTAATATCTTGAAGACCAGCCTAAGACCCCCCTCCCTTTCCTGTTTCTTGTATTCAACCTCTAGAACAGGGGTCTTCAAACCTGGCAATTTTAAGACTTGTGGACTTGTTGAGCTGGCTGAGGAATTCTGGGAGTTGAAGTCCACAAGTCTTAAAATTGCCAGGTTTGGAGACTCCTGCTCTAAAAGTGTTCCCCAAAATATCTGTAGGAAGGCATTACTCGGGTGAAAAACTCCCATTCTCTTATCCCCACTGGCTAATATTTCAGGAAGGGTTTTTGGCAGGGGAGGGGCAGCCATCATTAATCTGGACACCTCCAGATGTGTGGTCTTGGGACTTCCAGCATTTTCAGCAATGGCCATGTTTACGGAGAATTCTGGAAGTCCATACATCTGGAGGATAAACCCATTGGGGATAACTGAAGCCACCTTGCTCAACGAAGTTCTAAAAGAGCAGCTATATGGTGTCTATAGAATATAACTTTTCTCTCCTTAAAAACCTTTTAGTATTCTTGCTGGTGGCTCACTCACCATCTGGATCATGTATTTCTCATGAGTTTCCATCGAAAGAAACTCTGCCAAATCACGCCAATAATTTAGAAAAGAAGAATAGGTAATCCACACGCATTATGTGCATAATGTCAACTTTGAAGCATGTTTTTTTTTGCTGGTGTGACCATTATTGCTTCTCAGCTTGCCAACAAACTCAGGGGGAGGGAAAGGGATTGGAATGCAGACTTCAAAGATCAAAAAAGCAGACCGTGAGAACCAAGGACAGTTCACCAGGTATCTAACCAGCTCAGAGGCACCTTCTCATAACAATATTTTTGCACCTAATTGGGCAACGTAACCTGATCAAGAAGGAGGCGGGGGAATTGGGCTAGGGTGGGGTTTTGCCAGAGCTGGTTTTGTTTGCATACGTGCTGAAAGGATGTACTCAACAAAGAGATCGAAATGTCTTGCAGGTGTTTACTTGGTTGGGTTTGTCAATCGGAACCTTGACACATAGTCTAGACACATGACCTCATGGTTCTTTTTTTTTTTTTTCAAAATTTTTTTATTATTTTCAACATAAAAAGGAAAACAATCATAAGTACATCACAATTAAGAAAATAACCCCCCCCACCCCCCACCCGGACTTCCCAAACCAAATCCCAGGATACTATTCATCTAAAAGTAAACTTATATTAATATCCCTAACTCCACAAAGTGTGATTCTACATAATAGGTGAAATATATATATATATAGAAAAGAAAAATTTTTTATCTAAAAACCTAACCTATATTCCACCATTCTATGCTTATTTTGAATATAAACAATCCATCTTCTCCATATTGATAAAAATTGTTCATTTGAATGATCCTTCAAATAAGCCGAAATCTTTGCCATTTCAGCAAGATGCGAAACCTTCACTCTCCAGTCCTCTATTGTAGGTAAAACTTGACTCTTCCAGTTTTGAGCTATTAGCAAACGGGCAGCAGTTAAACAGTACAGCATCAAGTTCATTTCTTTTACGTCTAAGTTATGTGTAATACCTAGGAGAAACAACTGAGGCAAAAAAAAAATTCTTCTTTTAAAAACTTGTTGTAAATTCCACCATAATTTTATCCAGCTCTTTATAGGCGGAAGAAATTGGTGATAGTACCATCCTCAATACAGCTACGGAGTTGAGATAACAAAGATATTGGCAGCAGTTAATCACAGTTCCTCCTCATCAAGAATAGGTGTGAACGAAGCGGTCCATAGATTCCATGAAAAGCAACAGTCAGTCACTCATCGGAGTTCTTGCTTGGAGTCTTCAAAGAGGATTTCGTCCACTTTCATATCAGTTTCAGACACAGGGACCATACTGCACACTTGTTCTTGGAAAGCTAAGGCAATTGTGTACGGTTTTCCTTTCGGATGCTGCTGGCATCGTTGGAGGAAGGTATCATAATACCCTTTTCCTCTTCCCAGCCTGTTCCCCGTTTGGTCAAAACCAAGTCCCGGCATCAGGATGAGATCCAGACCATCTGTGGACGAGAGGAAATATCTGGGGTGAAATGACATCAAACTAACTTTTCATTTTTCAATTTTGCTTTCTTCCTAATTTGTCCAAGAAGTGAGGTGTGTGTGTTTCCCCCACCCACCCCAGTTTTGACTTTTAAAAGCTGGCTAAGTTGGATTTCCAGGTCACAGCAATGCAACCTGTCAGAGGCAGGGGGTCTTCAAACTTGGCCCTTTTATGACTTGTGGACTTCAACTCCCAGAATTCCTCAGCCAGCGTGCCACGCTGGCTGAGGAATTCTGGGAGTTGAAGTCCACAAGTCATAAAAGGGCCAAGTTTGAAGACCCCTGGCCTAAATCATCCAGGTATCTTCTTGATGAGAAAAAGACAAATAAATTAGGCACATCATCGTTCCATCTATAAAAGTATTTTAGAATGCTGTATATCACAATCTGGGCCAGTCACTCTTTCTCACAGACATATAGGGGTATGATGAAAATTTGTGCCTATGAAATCTCTGTGTTTGTGCCTTTGGGTCAGTGTAGACTCCACGCAACTATCTGGACAAGTCCCTGAAGTTTTTTTTTTGTCAAGATTTCGGGAGTGGTTTGCCATTGCCTCCTCCCTAGGGTTGAGAAAAAGTGTCTGGCCCAAGGACACCCAGGTGACTAGAACTCAGAGTCTCCCGTTTCTAGCCCAGTGCCTTAACCACTACACCAAAATGGGATCTCAACTGTGTAATAACCATTTCTCTATCCTTATTATTTAAAAGTATTTAATGCATTTCTTATCACCCTACTCATTCCAATTTCCTGGGGCAGCATACACCTACGTATGCATTAAACAGCCCCCTTGAGAACAGAAAGCAAAATTAACATGAGGCCATATGAAAAGCAGAAAGCATAGTAAGGTTGGGGAAAAAATATTCAGTATATTGAGAATGCTTTGCTAAAACTCCTCTGTGCACAAAGCAAGATTGAGCAGCACTAGAAGGACTCCTAAGCAATTTTCTCCGGGAAGGCATTCTACAAAAGCAACAGAAGCTATGAAAAGCTCTTTTTCTTTCAGACTTTTATTGTATTAAAACTCACATACCAAAGGTTATTAAGGCAAGTGGCTAAATATATGCAGACGTATTTGTATAGGAGGCATGCCGATAGAAGAGGGTGTCAAGCTATTCTCCAAAGCAACAAAAGGCAGGAAAAGAAGCAACAGATGGAAACTAATCAAGGAGAGAAGCAACCTAGAACTAAGGAGAAACTTCCTGGCAGTTAGAACAATTAACCAGTGGAACAACCTGCCTCCAGAAGCGGTGAATGCTCCAACACTGGAAGTTTTTAAGAAGAGACTGGACAGCCACTTGTCTGAAATGGTATAGGGCTTCCTGCCTGAGCAGGGGGTTGGACTAGAAGACCTCCAAGGTCCCTTTCAACTTTATCATTATTATTATTGGGTAGGTCCAGTTTAATGAAAAGAAGGCCAAGGGGATGACATGATAGCAGTCTTCCAATCATTTGAGGGGGATCAACCTCTTCTCCAAAGCGCCTGAAGGCAGGAAAAGAAGCAACAGATGGAAACTAATCAAGGAGAGAAGCAACCTAGAACTAAGGAGAAACTTCATGGCAGTTAGACCAATTAACCAGTGGAACAACCTGCCTCCAGAAGCGGTGAATGCTCCAACACTGGAAGTTTTTAAGAAGAGATTGGACAGCCATTTGTCCAAAATGGTGTAGGGTTTCCTGCCTGAGCAGGGGGTTGGACTTGATGACCTCCAAGGTCCCTTCCAACTTTATTATTATTATTATTATAATTATAATTATAATTATAATTATAATTATAATTATTATTATTATTATTATTATTATTATTATTATTATTATTATTATTATTATTATTATTATTATTATTGCAATAAACAAACACCAACAGATTGGGTTTTTTTAAAAAAAGGCACATGAACAACGAAGAGCCCCTTGCATATAGTAACAGCTAAATATCATTATAAAACTATTTTTTTCACATTTTGCTATAATTTCTTTTTCTTTTTTTTTGCACTCCACTGCACAAAGAAGATGTCCCTCTTGCTTGCCCCTTTTCAGGGTTTAATTCGTCTAAATAAATTTCTCATCTCTAATGCTGAGGGGTTTTTGAAGAGGGAGGGGCTTGACTAAGTGGGATAGCTGCAACAGTGAGCAATTTATCTCCTGCTCCAAGTTTTTTTCACGGTAATAATTCTGCAATTGATCGATTGCATGTTCCATAAGATAAAACCTCAGTGTGTGCACTTTATATTTGCTTTTTTTTCCTGGGGGAAATGGGGTTGGTAAAGGGAAAGGAAGCAGCTACAATTACTGAAGCATTTGTTGGGATGTCAGATAAAAATGGAATAGAGATTTAATTGCAGATCAGACCCCCTGGTTGAGAAACATCAAGCTCTCAGCATGGACCTGTCAGTATTATCAAGGGCCTTCTGGATGGAACCCTGGAATTACCATTTAAACTGGTGGATTTTTTTTCCCCAGCCCATAGGACTGGTTTCTTTCCCCCCCCCTCCCACTTACACACTTGAAAGCAGATAGCTTGTTAAAAGGCTGTTCTTGTATGTAGTTTGTTACGAGGAGGCCAGAGAATGTGTGTAAAAATGTCTCTCCGATAATCTGCAGACTCCTTGGTTTCTACAGTACTTCCTTTCATTTAATACTAATGGGGAAAGAATTAAAGAGGGTGCTTTCAATGGAAGAGGAATTTTAGGCAGCCAAGGAAAGTTTACAGTGTTGGAAAGATACTGTAGGAGAGGGAGGGGTCAAACACATCATAAGTCTGTATGGAGAAATATAGAAGGCGCTCGGTCGGCACCCCTAAACCGTGTCCGAAGGGAGGGAGAGGAAGAGGAGAAGAGAGATAGGAGGAAAGTACGTAGGTAGTGGAAAAGAGGGCGGATGCGGGGAGGGGGTTGCCGAGCTGATGCTCGGCTAGCGCTCTAAACCGTGTCCGTAGGAAGAGGAGAGGGAAGGAGGCGGGATGTGTAGGGAGGTTGAAGGAGGAGGAAAGAGGGCGGACGCGGGGAGGAGGGGTTGCCGGGCTGTTTTGCAATATTAATGTATGTCTATGTTTGTATGTTAAAATTAATAATATTGAAGTTGTATTAATGTATGTTTATATTTGTATGGGGGGGTTATTTTGAAATTAATAAAAAAAAAACTAAAAAAAAAAACACATCATAAGTCTTGAGTCCAGTGGTGGGATTCAAATACCTGAACAACCGGTTCTCTTATTGGATGCAGGCCTGGGTCTCCAAGGCCTAGAACGGACTTCCAGAAGTGGCATCCACGCACTTCTGGCAGGGCGTTCTAGGCCTGGGAGGCCTCCTCCAAACCTCCAAGGCCTAGACTGGACTTCCAGAAGCAGTGTGCATTAAGTCGGTTCTCCGAACTCAGCAAAATTTAGCTACCAGTTCTGCCAAACCGGTGCAAACCGGCTGAATCCCACCACTGCTCGAGTCCCTTTTGCACCCACAAGAGATCTAAGCCCAGCCCACTCTGAATTCCATTGACTCTTATCTACCACCAATCTGCTTCGAACATTAGTCTTTCAGATTCTTGTAGACAGCTTTATCATACAACAAACCTACATTCACTGGTGACGCAGTGGTTAGAATGCAGTATTGCAGGCAAACTCTACCCACAGCCTAGAGCAGTGGTTCTCAACCTTTTTAATGCCACGACCCCAACCGGTCGTAAGTCGAGGACTAAACCGGTCGTAAGTCGAGGACTAAACCGGTCGTAAGTCGAGGACTACCCAATCGGTCGTAAATCGAGGACTTTCCCTGCCCGGGAGCACCGCGCATGCGTGGTTCCGCCCCCTGCGCCGGCCGAGGCATAGCTGGCAAGCGGCAGAGACGGAGCAGGCCGACCACCAGCTGGCCCAGCCCAAGGGAGGTAAGGCACCCGCTGGAAAAGGGGGGAAAAAATGGCGGACAAAAAAATGGCGGACAGCCTTGCTTGGCGACCCCCATGAAATGGTCGATCAACCCCAAATGAGGTCCCGACCCACAGGTTGAGAACCACTGGCCTAGAGTTTGATCCTGACGGGGCTCAAGGTTGACTCAGCCTTCCATCCTTCCACGGTCAGTAAAATGAGGACTTAGATTGCTGGGGGCAAGATGCTGACACTGTAAACCGCACAGAGAGCTCTGGAAAGCGCCGTGGTGCAGCATAGAAGTCTAACTGCAATTGCTCTTGCTCTTCATTTGAACTATCTGGACTCCTGATTTCCTGGACATACTGTAAGTTATAGTAAGCACTGCCACCAGATCAGCCCCCCTCCAGCATTTTCAATAAGAAAAGTCAACTAGCCCACCGTTGGCATATAAATAAACAAATACACAGAACTGTTTTTTGTTGGTTTTTTTTGCCATTCTGAGGTAGAAAAAGCGAAACAAATTCTTTCAGAGGAAGTTCTAAAATAACTTTAATCCAGGTTAAAAATACAAGAAAATAGCAAAAATTCTCTGGCTCCTTGAGAATAAAGTAGGAAAGCAGACGTTTCTTGCACGGGAAGAGAGATTTGGAAAAAATCCAACTCAGCGGTGATGTTTCTGCCATCCTGCCCTCAAACCCACACAAGGGACCGGCTTTTCCTGCCGTTCCATCTGCTTTCAGAATTGATGCAGCTGCCTTTGCCAGGAATCGGGAAGGAACCAGGCAGGCATTCTGAAGCCTGTGCTGCATTTAAAGGCAACTCTGTGTAGTAGATCTGTTTTTTCTCAGCACGGAGGAGGATTCGCCAAGGGGACATTTGAAACAAATGAGGCAGCACAAGTTAAGAGTTGGGACGAACTCATCATCTTGCTGGGTTTTTTTTTTCTTTTTTAAACTTTTGCAGCAGAGAAAAACTTTTGGAGCGAGAAAAGCAGAACACGTCCAAGCAAAATGGCCGTCAGGGATGTAAGAACGCGAGCTGAATGTATCAAAAATAATGTGGAGTGTAGGAAAAGATCTGGGTATTTGGTCTAAAGAGGATGAG